TGTAACCACAAGATAAAGATCCCCCGTATAGCCTGTAACAAACTTGGGGGAGTGGTAGTGTAGCAGGTAGTGTAGCGCTTAGCGCGCTGTGCTACGAATCTAGGGGAGGTCCTGGGCCTCCCCTAGGTCGACTCAGCCTCAAATGAGTACCTGGTGCGATGTGTGAACATCGCCACGAGGGAGACAAAGGCGGCTGGCCGTGCTGTTGGCCACCCACCCCCTCGTGTGCCGATCCGGCCTTAATAGGTGCTCGCTAACAGCACTTGCCTCTACAGTCTGTCACTGCGACTACTACCACCACCATCACGATCATCATCATCATCACAGTCGTCGTCATCGCAGTCAATATCAATCATCTTCATTACATCATCACCCCCTGATTGGCATCATTATTACCACCAACATATTAATCGATATCATCATTCATATTACCCCTCATCATACACTTATCAAATTCTCTGCTCGGGGAGCGGGTAAACATGAGCTACACCCGTTATAGCTTGTATAATTAATGCGATTATGATCATGTAAACGTGTGGAGGTGGGAAGGGGTGGATTGTAACAAGTTCTTGAGATGCCCATTGCGCCGAGACGCAAACGAAATAAAAAAAAAAATTCGCGCCGTTTCAGACAGCTCCGATTAGACCTCCCCCCCCCACCCCTTGCTGCTTAAATAAAGCACGAGCGTAAATAACAGTCATACACGAATAAATAATGTTGCCATAAATACATCGCAGCAGCAGCAGCAACAGGCGACGGTCAGCATCGGCCGCTGCAGAGACACAAACTTGTTGTTTTCCACCGAACTGCACCCTCAGCCGGGGGTCGGAAGCCAAAAGTAGCAAGCGGAGGCGTTTTGCTCGAATTCGGTCTAAAAACAAAACAGCCAACCTCGATACTCCAATAGTCGCAGCGCACTGCGGGCGAGTACCAGACGGCGGTCACTCTGTAAGTAACGCCACGAAGCGGCTCTTTAAAGAGCTGCATGTTGCCCCCCCCACTCCCCTTGAGTTGACTCAACATCGATTCGGTTGTACCGAGTTACTGAGCCCGCGAGCCATCCAGGCGCGGGGTGATGCTTCCTCGTGCGTGGCTGGGGTTGTCCTCCGGTCACCGCAGTTTTCCCACTCACCACGTGACGACAAACAACGACCATCGGCTCGTGGCATCGGTCGAACAATCGAATGCACGCGACCCCCCCTCCTCCTTCTACTGCCTCCTGCACGAAAGAGCCCTTGAGACTCGGGGGAGGCTTTGGCTGGACGTATAAAAGTGGCATCGCATCCCACGGTCTGTACTCGGTGCCGATGACCCCACACGTGAACTTTCCCGTGGGGAAGTAAAAGCATGCAGACGGGTTCCCGTGGGCGACACGGGGTCAGGTTGGGTGAAAAGGCCATCCGTCGCGCTTTTATCAAGATCGAGCGAATGCTTAATATGTTCATAAGAACATAAATAACGGGGGACCTCTGCTTAAAAACCATCGCGGCTCAACTCACTGTCGCAAAAATAGCGGAGGCGACGCGAACAGGAATGAGTGCATAGCACACAGCGCGGAGGGAGAGTGTGTCAGTGTGTGTGTCTGTGTGTGTATCTGTGTGTGTGTCAGTTGGTGTGTATCTGTGTGTGTCAGTGTGTGTCAGTGTGTGTGTCTGTGTGGATTCAAGTGGGTATGTGTGTGGGTTTGTCTTTGTGGGGGGTGTGTGTAGTAAGTGGGTCCTCGGGTAAATACGTCTGTGTGTGTAAGTGGGTCTGTGTGTGTGTGTAAGTAGGTCTGTGTGTGTAAGTGGGTCTGTGTGTGTGTAAGTGGGTCTGTGTGGGTGTGTAAGTGGGTCTGTGTGTGTGTAAGTGGGTCTGTGTGGGTGTGTAAGTGGGTCTGTGTGTGGACCTCCGCATGTGTGGGTATGTGTGTCATTGGGTCCATGTGTGTGTTTAAGTGGATCTGCGTGTCTATAAGTGGGTCTGTGTAGATGTAAGTTCCCGTGTTTGTGTACGTGCATCTGTGTGTGTGTAATCGTGGGGAGCGGTAGTGTGGCGATTAGCGCTACGAACCCGGCGTCCCGAGTTCGATTCCCGCTCACGACCAACACCAGTGGCGATTTTCTGAACCGGTCCTGGGCCTCCCCTAGGTCGCCTCAGACTAAAATCAGCCACCTACCCCTCCGTGTGCCGCTTACAACAACACTGGCGTAAAGAGGCCCATGCCTGGGTCTGTGTGTGTGCGAGTCTCTATGTATGCACGTAAATAAAGCGTGTGATTGTGTGTGTGTGTGAGTACAAGTCCGTGTGTGTGTGTGTCTGGTTAATTTTTGTGTTTGGTTTATTGTCCTTCCCCCACACCTCCCAGTAGCACGGTTGGCTACGTACGGTACACTGTGTGTGTTCATCTGTGTGTGTCAATCTGTGTGTGTGTGTTAATCTGTGTGTGTGTTCATCTGTGTGTGTGTTAATCTGTGTATGTGTTCATCGGTGTGTCTGTGAGAGTGAGAGCGCGTTTGGCCTTGGATGAGAGCAAGTGACGTTGGGAGGGGTGCAGGCGCCACGAGAGAGGGGGAGGAGTGGAGTGGCGCAGTGAGGATTTGCTAATTCAGTCAAGGTCGAGAAGGCGACCCACAGCTGAAGGCGTCGATGTCACCACCGCCATCGCTTCCTTCCTTCTGCTAAACACGACAGCCGCTGCGCTATCGACAGCCCAACCTCAGGCAGAGCTCAATCTCACACGCTCATCACCATCCTGCCTCCAGATCGTCTCCTTGCTACCAAAGTAAACAGCGCTTTCAAGGATCGCTCGTAGTCTCATCACCACCATCTGGTTGTGTGTGTTACCCCCCTCTGTCCGTGGACTACTCTCCTTCTACCCTGCACACGTGTCCAACCCATCATCACAACCTACCCCCCCCCCCCCCGCTGCTAGGTAACACCTACATCGCTTTCTCCGTCAACGTTCTATTGCCGACCTCCACGCACGCTCGGCACAGAGGCAATTGAACCGAGCGGCAGATGAAAGATGCTGGGGGGCAGCCCGGCAAATCCATAAAGATCGGACGGGCAAGTCCTCCTCGCGAGCAGCTGGCAGCAACGAGTGGGTGGTGTGACCAGCACCGTCACAACGGACGCCATTCACAGCTATATTGCGATGACGTTCTATACAGCTCTTGTGCCAGGCTAGGTGCACTTTGAGACCACGTGAAGTGTCTAAGGCTCGCTGTCAGGAGGTCACGGGACAGACCCGGGTGCGATGGGCTGACTGTGATGACTGGCAGATGCAGCACACACACACGTGCAGATGCACCACACACGCACGCACGTGCAGATGCACCACACACACACACGTGCAGATGCACCACACACACACACGCACGTGCAGATGCACCACGCACACCCACGTGTAGATGCACTGCACACACACACACGTGCAGATGCACCACACACACACACCACACACACGCACGCACGTGCAGATGCACCACACACACACACGTACCACACTACCACACACACACGTGCAGATGCACCACACACACGCACACACACACGCACACACACACACAGATGAAGCGCCTTTCAAAGCGCTCTCCGCCAGCGACGTCACCGCTACATTCGTACACGAGGTGCGAGGAGCACTGGGCAGCCAAGAGTAAATTTGTTCAAACGAATGAATCACCAGCAACCCCTCTCGTTTATTTACAACGTCTGGATGACCCGAAGCCAAACATTCGAATAACCATCACCGTCGTGGTGATGGTGGTTGTCATCGTTACCACCACCATCATCATCATCATCGTGAGTCTCTGCCTCTGCTGCTGTCTAGAGGTCAAGAGGTGACTGTGTGAATGTGAGCGTGTGGGTGGGTGCGTGAGTCACGGTCCAGGTGGAACGGGTGAGTTTAAACTGTCGGGGTTGATTTGAGTACATGCGTACGCTTGTATTTATGGTGAGTGTATTGGTGTAATGATTAACTCAGCCTCAAATGAGTCCTCTGGTGCGGAGTGTCAACATCGCCACGAGGGAGACAAAGGCGGCCGGGCGTTGTGCTGGCCACCCACCCACCCCCTCGTGTGCCGTGGCGGCCTTCATAGGTGCTACTCGCTAACAGCACTCCCACCCTTTTTTAAAGGTCGCCGCGCGTCTGCAACAACCGCGTCTGCACTTGTGGCAAAACGGCGCAAAACAAAACATGCTGCGAGTCGAGTTTTGCAAGGGGTGGCCTCGTGCGACGAGTGCAAGGGTGGAATGGGTGCAGGGCAAGCGCGCGTACAGGCGGGGTGGTAGTGAGTGAGTGAGGAGCGAGCGAGCGTGGAGTGAGTGGAGTGAGTGAGTGTGGAGTGTGTGGAGTGAGTGAGTGTGGAGTGTGTGTGGAGTGAGTGTGGAGTGTGTGGAGTGTGTGTGGATTGAGTGAGTGTGGAGTGAGTGTGGAGCGAGTGAGTGTAGAGTGAGTGTGGAGTGAGTGTGGAGCGAGTGAGTGTGGAGTGAGTGTGGAGTGTGTGTGGAGTGAGTGTGGAGTGTGTGGAGTGAGTGTGGAGTGTGTGGAGTGAGTGAGTGTGGAGTGTGTGGAGTGAGTGAGTGTGGAGTGTGTGGAGTGTGTGTGGAGTGAGTGAGTGTGGAGTGAGTGTGGAGCGAGTGAGTGTGGAGTGAGTGTGGAGTGTGTGGAGTGAGCAAGCGTGGAGTGAGTGTGCAGTGAGTGAGTGTGGAGTAAGCGAGTGTGGAGTGAGTGTGGAGTGAGTAAGTGTGGAGTCAGCGAGCGTGGAGTGAGTGTGGAGCGAGTGAGTGTGGAGTGCGTGGAGTGAGTAAGTGTGGAGTCAGCGAGCGTGGAGTGAGTGTGGAGCGAGTGAGTGTGGAGTGTGTGGAGCGAGTGAGTGTGGAGTGAGCGAGCGTGGAGTGAGTGTGCAGTGAGTGAGTGTGGAGTGTGTGGAGTGAGTGAGTGTGGAGTGAGTGAGTGTGCAGTGAGTGAGTGTCCTCGGGCTCGCGCGCGCGCGCGCACGTGGCTCGCGGGGCCTCACCGAGCTCGTGCGCCAGGGTGAAGGCCGTCTGCACGCCGTCGTCCTCGATGACGGCGCAGCTCCTGGCCGGGTCGCACACGGTGCCCACGTCGGCCACCCCCAGCGTGCTGCAGTCCGACGCGCCACAGATATCCTGCGTGGTTTCAAGCGAGCGGCGAGGTAGGATGGGAGCGGTGGGGAGGGGGGGGTCACATCGGTAACAGTCAGGGCTTATACTCTTAGTTCTTTCGGTAAAGTCACGTAGGTAAAAAATGAAATTTTAATTAATAAAAATAAAATAAAAATCACGACGTTTCGGAGGCAACACACGTCTCCGTCATTAGGTGGGACCGTCACAGCCAGATTTGCTGTATCAAGTGAGTCACGAAAGTTTCAAATCTAGAACAGTCAGGGTGGCAAATGCTACCGGTGATTTTCTCGAAGTATTCGGTGTCGAGATTATAAGCGAGCACGATAGCAAGGGACGCGTAGTAGCTTGTGGGAAATATATTGCGCGCAAACTCGACTCATCAGACGCCTGTGTGCGGCTGGGCAAGGCGTTTGTCTGGGGCTTTGGGGGGCGATAGTGTAGTGGTTAGCGCACCGCGCTACGAACCCGGAGACCAGAGTTCGACTCAAACAACGGTAGACTCGTCATGAAATGAGTACTTGGTGCAGTGCGTAAACTCGAGCATTGGGGAGACAAATGTGTATGTGCGCGTTGGCCACCCACCCCCTCGTGCACCGAACCGGGGGGAGGGATCTCCGTCTTTGTTGTGCTAATGGAACTACTATTGTAGAGCCGGGGGGAACCTTTTCTGGAAGCAATTTAATATATTTATTCTATTAAAGGACTTGGGCTTGCGTGATGGGGGCGCGCAGGAGTCATCGTGAACAATGGAGCCTCTTCAATTGTATCCGGGCACCAAGTGAAGGAGGAGGAGGAGGTGCACACGTCGTCAAAGAGCGGAGGAAGCATTCGTCGGGGAGGGGAAAAAAAACTTTTATGGGCCCTGAAAAAAAGATTCGGATACAGCGCGCGGTTTTTTTTGCGGGGCTTGAGGTTAGAGTTGGAGGTCAGGGGTTAATCCCCCCGTGGTCCAAACGCCGCCGCTGCCTCTGCCCGCGCATACCGGAGTATAAACACAAAGAGAAAAAAAAACACAAACTCGCTAAGCCCGGCACTTTTATGGAGCCTCCAATGTCGTCGGTGAATCGGATTGGACTGTGCGGAGAAAGCTGGCGAGCACGGACAATCAACGCTCCCGTGAATATGCGCGCTCATAACGCGGCGCAATGTGTTTGGTTAAATGCACACCGCAGGGATTATGTAACGCATTCCAACATGATACAAATTGTCACTGGTTTTCTCTCTCTCTCTGGTTGTCGTCTCAAACTTTTGGGCAACTCCTCCGATCAATGTGGCCGCTTTTCACAAAGGACGATTACCCGAATAGCAACACTCAAGTTGTGTTCGTGTCGGATTATAATCGTTCACAGCTAGGTAGCATGCCCCCGCCTTACGGACGGAGCTAATGCTCCCACGTGTTCAACCTCAGTTGGAAATTGTAAACAAAACTCCCAACCAAACCCTAAGCATGGGCTTGAGATTAGCCGTGATATGATCCCAGCACTCACTACCCCGTCGAGACTCCCACACTGAGAGCGCGTGCTCTAAGCCACTTACGTGCACACGCGAACATCGACAACCTCCGGTATGAACCCACTGCTCTATTCACACTGTCTGCCTTCATGGAGCCGCTTCACATTAAGACTGCTATCTCTCTCGGTGTGGCGCGTGTACACTCGTTCAGCGTGACGCAGACGGCGTTAATTGCTTGGCGCGTCACGTGGGACGTGTTTAACAAACATCGGGCACGTGCAGCGTGGAACGAGTTAATTCGTATTTGAATGGGGGTTGGGTGGGGGGGGGAGAGGGAGTACATAGGTAAACGCGGAAAGACGGAGCGTGGTGGGCGATGGCGAGGACTGGAGTTTGGGAAATCATGAATCCTCGACCATTTGCAACAAGAAAAGAAGGATGCGTGGACGGGACGCGTAGGTGGGTGTGGTGGGTGGGAGAGGATGGGGTGGGATGAGGAAAGCCCCGGGCAGATTAGAGATGAGAGGCAGCAGCAGCAGCCTTGTGCTAAAGGTCACGGCGGCTCCAGTTCGGGTAGGGTGGCTTTGAGTGCCCCTCTGTGCAGGGACACGCGCGGAGCGATCGTCAACAGCGGGTTTCCGGGGCCACCCAGATCCAAGAGGCGTTTTAAATTAAAAATAATGACACACTCGTCCTTAACAGTTTTATACATTTTACAATTGTGGGTGTCTGCAAGTCTACGATGGGTCGCTGTGCAACTCTTTGAGCTCTTATGGGAGTGTTTGGGTCTATTTGTGTGTCCATGGGTCTACACATCCATGGGTTTCTGTGTAAGTCTATGATTCCCTGTGCTGGTTTATGGGTTTCTACTTAAATCTTTGAGTCTCTCCGTAAGTCTATGAGTCTCTGCGTGCGTCTACGGGTCTCTGCGTAAGCCCACACGTCTCGAAGTCTATGGGTCTCTATGTAAGTCTATGGGTCTCTATGTAAGTCTATGGGTCTCTATGTAAGTCTATGGGTCTCTATGTAAGTCTATGGGTCTCTATGTAAGTCTATGGGTCTCTATGTAAGTCTATGGGTCTTCTCGCTCTGCACTGTCACCCGTGCCCACGATTGACCTCAATCTCCCTCCCCCACCAACAGGCAACGTCCCACGTGCCTACGAAGACTCCGTCTCGCTGATCGGGTCACGAAGTATGGACCGGCTTGTAAATGCTTAGAGGGCGCGCGCCTATGGGCTATGGAGCGTGCATCCATTGGCTATATAGTACGCATGTACATGATAGGCCATATAGTATGCATGTGTAAACTCAACAGTATGCATGTATAGGCTCTAGGGCACACATAGGCTGTAGACTATGCATATACATGCTATAGAGCATGTATAGGCTATAGAGCATGTATAGGCTATAGAGCATGTGTAGGCTATAGAGCATGTATGTACAGGCTACATGGGGGGGATGGATTGGAAGGGATTGGAGATCAACATTAGAAAATAGAGGCGATGAAGAACAGGTTAAATGACTCTTCCTTACTTAGCAGGATAAATGTTACGGATAAAACCTAGAAAAGTGTTTTACCCTTTCAAACTCCAAGGAATCGATTCTGCGTTAACCACACAGAGTACTTGTGGTGGACATGCAAACAAAACATGCTCTGATAATATATGATTGATTGTCCTTGAAACTTTTTGTTTTCATACTTTGATACTGGCAACAAACGTCCGAGGATAAACCGAAAAGCAAACGATGTGCGTGGAGAGGAAACCGTGCAATCATTTCGCATCACCCACTGCGAAGATAATCATCAGATACAATCCGTGCAGCGAGAGAGAGAGAGACGCGCTGCTTGAAAACGACACTGAGATTACTCAGAGAGACAACGGTGGATACAAAGATCCCCCCGTGTAGCCTGTCACGGACTTTGGATCAAGTGCTGTTTGAGAGCAGCACCTACGAAGGCCGGCACGGTACACGAGGGGTGGGTGGCCAGCACCACGCCCGACCGCCTTTGTCTCCCCAGTGGCGATGTTTACACACCACACCAGGTACTCATTTGAGGCTGAGTCGACCTAGGGGAGGCCCAGGACCGTTTCAGATAATCGTCACTGGTGTTGGCCGTGAGCGGGAATCGAACTCGGGTCGCCGGGTTCATAGCGCAGCGCGCTAACCGCTACACTACCGCTCCCCCACATACACAGTCAGACACACACAGTCACACACACACAGTCTCACACACAGTCACACACGCGCGCGCATGCGCCAGGGAACAAACGCAATTCAGGACCCAAGCTACATTGACTGGGCAGGACACATCTTCGCGAGAAGGGACTGGGCAGCCGAAGGAGAGCAGAGGGAGATAACTCGCCCGACTTGATTGAACGACAACCCACGGATACCGAGCTCTGAGTTCAGAAAGAAGGGTCGTAGTGGCACCGCGCGACACGAGGGAACGACGGACCACACGTATATCGCGGATGCCATCGCCTAGCAGTGGATAGAACATGTCTCGTGATGATGATGATGATGACGGTGGTGGTGGTCGTAGCGGTGGCTGTGTCGAAGGCATCGTTATACTGTTGGATGATGGTGATCGAGCAAAGGCGACAGAGGCGACGTGCAACAACCCGCAGGAGTCGTGAAGTCTGACGGCGTGAATTCGATCCGGCGGTGGTGGTGAGGGTCGGGTTCGTGGCCACGGGTGGCACGGGGCGAAGGGAGGGAACGTGGTCGGTTCTGGCCCCTCGTGGTAGTGGCGGTGATACCTGGACAACGTTTTACGTCTCTCCCCCCGTCCCTCTCTTAGAGAGTACGTGCGTTGAGTGGGGGGGGGGGGGTCGGTGAGGAGTGCGGGCGAGTGGGAAGCACTGAGCGCGTGTCCGGGAGCAGTCTGGAGACGGCTTGGTGGCGCTGCGCTACGCAACCGCCAATCTAAGTTCGATTCCTGCTCACGGCTAACAACCATGGCGAGTGAGTGTGTGTGTCTCAGTGGGTCTGTGTGTGGGGAGCAGTAGTGTGGCGGTTAGCGGCTACGCTGCGCTACGCACCTGCAGACCCGAGTTCGATTCCCGCTCACGGCCAACGCCAGTGACGATAATCTGAACGGGTTCTGGGCTTCCCCTAGGTCGACTCAGCCTCAAATGAGTACCTGGCGCGGTGTGTAAACATCGCCACTAGGTAGACAAAGGCGGCCGGGCGTGGTGCTGGCCACTCACCCCCTCCGATGAGCAAGTTTGGATACGTACGGGGCGAAGGAAGTTCAACATACGTAACGGCCCTCAGAGGCGCTCGCTAACGGCACTGTTAAAGGCCATACTGGCGATCTGTGTCTTGTATATGCGAGTGCGCGTGTAAGGTACAACTCACTAACAGCACTTGCCCCAACATCCTATCGTAGGCTATACGGGTGATCATTATCTTTGTGAATTCGCAAGTGCGTGCGGCTGGCGTTGAGGAAAGTTCCTCCCCCACGGGGACGTGAGCTCTTGCACGTCTCACTTTGTACACGAGTGCGTGTGAGTGTCTGTCTGTGTCTGTACGTGTGTTTGCGTGTGAGTGTCTGTCTGTGTCTGTACGTGTGTTTGCGTGTGTTACTGTGGGGAGCGGCAGTGCAGCGGTCAACGCGCTGCGCTACTGAAACCTGCGAACCGAATTCGATTCCCGCTCACGGCCAGCACCGGTGACGATTATCCGAGCCTCAGCCTCAAATGAGTAGCTGGCGCGGTGTGTAAACATCGCCACTGGGGATGCAGAGGCGGCCGTGCGTCGTGCTGGCCACCACGCGCCCTCGTGCGTAATAGATACTCGCTTTCAGCACTTGCCCCGTCACTCTGGTTAAGGCTATACCGGGGGAGGGGGAGGAATCTTTGTCTTTGTATTTTCACGAGCGTGTGCACACTCGTGAATGCACGCACGCGCACGAGTGTGGGAACACGGGGTACGAATGTCCACACGCGCTCGCTTTGCAATCTCCCACTGCCTTCCATCGCTCTCTCTCTCTCACCCCACATCACACCACCACCAACCACCACATCACACACAAGCCAACCCCCCGCACCCACCACCACTCACCACTCTGGTGAAGAGTACAGCCGTGTCGAAATGCTCCGCCCCAGCGCCTCCCGCCCTCCGCAGCGATTTCTGCCACTCGCAGAAGTTGCGCAGGGTGAGTCCTCCGCTGCTCGAGACGGCCGGAGGTCCTCCCCTGGAGCCGTGGCGACGTTGTTGCTGCTGCTGCTGCTGCTGCAGCACCACGACACCGGCCACGCTGAGTCGCACGGCGTTGTCGAGGCTGGCGTGCGAGAAGAGGCGCGCGGCGCGGGCCGCCACGTCCAGGAGGTACCGCTCCACGTGGCGTGCGCCGTGAGCCAGCGCCATGCCCTCGTCCGCCACGAGCAGCACCGAGAGGTAGCGCAGCGTCGACACGAAGCGACGGGTGCGCACCGGAGCCAGCGCCGGAGCAGCCGCCGAGGAGAATGACGAAGGGGGGCGCTCTCCCGCGATGTCACCGTCTTCTGATTCATCGTTGTAGTCGTCGTCATCGTCGTTGTCTTCATCAACGTCGTCATGGTTACCCTTACCGAGTTCTCCGGCAATGCTGTCTCTATCGCCGATCAGGTGGTCGTCTTCCTTAGCGGCGGCATTATCGTCAGCATTGTTATTATTTTTGTTATCACCATCATCAGCGTCAGCTTCAGATGGGTCGTTAACATCAGCCACGGCTTCAGCAGCAGCAGCATCGTCAGCATCAGCAGCGTCGTCGTAGTGGTGGCGGTGCTGGCGGTTGTGTTCCCGATCACCACCACCCGCCACCTCGCTTCGCGTGATCAAGTGTGGCCCCACTCCCGTACCCTCATCCTCCTGCCCCTCCTCGCGGTGGTTCCCTACCAAGGGCCTGATCGCGTACACGCGCCCGCCGTGTTGGAACGAACCGCTCAGTCCCCCGCACACGCTGAGAACGGCCTCTCCGCTCCCGTCTCGATCCAGATCCACACCGAGACCACGACGATCCATCTCCTCCTCCTCCTCCTCCTCGCCGCGGCCGCTTACATCCCGCACGGTGCCCGAGTAGAAGCAGCGAGCACCGTCGCCGCGGTGATGGGCGTTGAGCGCGGGCCCCAGCAACGACGCTTCGGGCCGCAGCAGCGAGATTTGGAAGCGGCGGCCGAAGGCGGAGAGCGCGTAGAGGAGCGGAGGGGCGGGCAGGGAAGGAGAGGACGAGGTCGACATGGAGCCCGTGACCGGCTCGAAGTGGCGCTGTCCGGGACCCAAGTGCTGCCCGTCTGGGCTCGCGCGTCTGGGCAGCGTCACGTCGCTACGAAGTGCAGTGGCGCTCGTGGCAGAGACCAGAAGCAACACGCAGACGCCGGTCGCGAGCATCTTTACGATTCAAAGGCAAACGTTGATGCGTGGATCTTCAGCGTCAGGGACGACGCTTCGTCGTGGCTGCCCGTGTAAAGTTGCAAAACAACAAAAACACGAGCGAAGGCGCTAAGACTGCTGCTACTGCGACGAAATGAAGCACGAATTTGTGCCGTGTCAAAAAATAAATTAAATGAATAAGTTAAATATCAAAACAAAATCTCTTGTCTTTGCCTGCCGATTGGCTTTGCTCGATCAATCTCTCTTGCCGCGTGTTCTGAGTTCCGTGCTTTAAGGTTACGCGACCCGCTGGTGGGAAAAACAAAAAAGTTCTCAAAAGTTCACTCTAAAAGCGGTCACCCCGTGTGTTACTGCAGAGAGCAGGCTATAGATACACTCCTTCACTCATAAATACACCTCTTCAAACGCCACATCTGCTCACAGACAATAACACACGCGCACAACTCACAACTGGCGTACACCAACCTTCGCCAAATCAAAATACGCGCAGACTCTTCTATCAGCCCGTGAAAGTTACAACGGCGTAAAGTCACGTTGCATTAAAAAGCCATCGGATGGCACAAACGTGGTGTGCAAATATCCCTATCCGCAAGTGCAACTGTTACCGTTCCTGTCCGTTCTCAATCCTTTACAACTCTCTCTCTCTCTGCACTCTCTGAGTGAGTGGAGTTGAGCGAGTACGTTAACTCGTCTCCGCTCTCTCCTCTCTCTCCTCTCTCTCTTTCCCCTCTCTCTCTCTCTCTCCACAGCAGCTCGCTCTCCGCTTGCCCGTGCGCCGCGCAACTCGCCTTATATGAGCCGAGCCTCTTGGCACGACGGGGTGGTGGTGGTGGTGGTAGCAGCGAGGGAGGGAGGAAGGGAGGTAGGAGAGTGGTGGCGGTGGGGGGGGGAGTCGGGGTTGGGAGAGCGGGGGGTGGTGAGTGGGGGGGGGGGGCTTTTGGTGAGTGGGAATAGGCCGGGGAGGGGGTGGCTGGGTAGCTGGGTGGGTGGGTGGCTGGAAGCGCACGGGAGGGAGTGGTCACGGTGTTGGAGGAGGGAGGGCGATTGTTGTCACGAAGTTTGGGCGAGTGTGTTCGTGAGCACGCGTGCGTGTGTGCGCGTGTGCCGCCCTCGCTGTATACACGTTGGGTGGGTAGGTTATACTTACACCGACTGCACTGCGGCAGAGAGGAGGGGTGGGGGGTAGGGAGAGTTGGGCGCGGGTAGAGACGGGGGGGGGCTACAGCTGGATAGATTACAGAACTCCCGCTCACACAGACGGGGCATGGCTTCGTCCAGAAACTCTGACACCCTCTCCCGCTCCCCCCTCGCTCTGTCTCTCTACACCGGCGCTTACGCACGCACGCACACCTTCCAGCCTTCCAACAACACCCGCCCCGTGATCACCGGGGCCCAGGGCTCTGAGTAATTCGCTCACTCCACATGATTGCTCTTCCCCTTTTGCCGCAAGTCGTCGCATAGCGGTTTTCGTAAATGTCACGCACACAAATAAACACGCGAGCTGGTAGAACGATGAACGCTCCGCATGCAAAGTTGTCCTTCATTGGTGAGCCGTGCAGTGAGTTTAGCACCAGTGTTGGTGAGCCCGTGCGGTGGTGAGTTTAGTCATTGACGTCTCTCGTGTTAGTAGAATTGCGTGGCCTTGACGATCGTGGAGTTTTAGCTGCGCCTCTGAAAAGAGAAACAGCAGCAACAATGGGCCTGAGACCACCCAGTGTGGAGGCGCTTTCACCAGACAGACTCGGCAAGCCTCTTGCAATCTTGTCCTTAAACCAACTCAAAACTCAACTTCCACCACAACCGCCACAAACATTCACAAGGAAGCCACGTTGGGGGGGGGGGGGGGGGGTTCAGCTGAAGTTGGCGAGACGCACGCGCGCGACACGCGGAGACAGCGTGCTGGGCCCGTCTGGTGAGCGGGTGAGTGGGAGCAGGAGGAGGTGGTGGATGGGTGGGTGGGTGGTGGATGATTGATTGAAAGTCGAGGGAGCTGGCAGAGCGGGGGAGGCGGTGGGGATCAGCTGGGAGGGTTCGAGGCTACTCGGGGGGATTAGACGAGGGGGTTTAGGGTCACGTCTGCGAAGTGCCACGGACATTGCCAATTGCCGTCACTCGCGGAACGAACGAAAGAACGACGACGCGCGATGTTGACCGACTGATAACCAAACATACAGCATATATACAGTATGTATATACAGTATATACACTGTAGATGTATTGCTCTCACAGAGAGGAGGCCACGATCCACAACGGGCCGTGATCCCAGCGATCAGGTGAAGGCGTTCAGCAATCTCAGGAACGCTTCTCTGCGTGACCCCGGGGGTCTCCAGTGACGGCAATGAGAGCGATAAGAGAGAGCCCCTGACGTCTTGTCCCGAATCAACAATGTTCCTTATCCAGAGCCACACAGACGTCAACTCACCCACCCACTCGCACACTCGCACTCCAAACCGCCGGAACAAAGCTTGCCTCACTCTCACTGAGGTCAGGCAGTAGACGTCACTGATATCAAACAGATTGCCTTCACCTTTACGAGCAGCTGAGCGACTAGAAGTCCCTGAAGATATTTACATGGCCGGTAGAGCTGGATGAAAAAAAGAGGAGGCGCTCGGCGTGATGATCGGCACGGCTCGGCTCTGCATCCTGACATGGCAGTGGAAAAACGCAGCATTGGAGTCGCGCGCGTGATTGTGATGTTCTGGACACGTGCGTGGGATGTGGGTTCGTCGCCTCTGCTGAACCTGACGTGTAATTCTCTCCCTGCCACCACCACCACCCCACACCCCACCACTTATCCGTGCTGTCGACTCATTGTCCAAGTCCGCACTCTCTGGACCTGGGCCTTCCCCTTTCTTCTCTAGAAAATAAACAAATTCACGTTTCTCCCATTTACAGTTAAGCGCGTGTCCTACTGATTCCGTGCAACATATTGGGATGCGGTTGCATACAGAGACACACTTTATGTTCATGTTGTTTAAAAGATATCGGCCAAGCGATAGGCAGGGCAATTGTTTGCACTACGCTGACTGTCACTTTGCGTAGACGGCTGAACGCAGCGAGTTGCGACATCAACATTTTGGACGGAACCATAAAACATTCGTCACTAACACTCGCGGTCTTAAAAAAAGTTTCGGGGGGAGGGGGACAAATATGTGTACGTAAAATAGGCGACGTTTTGGGCAATGGCCCTTATTCATAAGCACGTGAATGATGCATTGATGGTTTGACCGCTCGCTTCTTTGTGCGTTGCACTTTTTCGAAACTACGCCACGAGCGCAGTCCACTCCATTTTCATCCCCTGTGCATGTGGACACCGGCCAATGATCCCCTGTGCATGTGGACACCGGCCAATGATTGATGGTGACGAGAAAGCCACGGCTGGTCGAGGAAACTGTTACTTAATCAAATATTTAAAGTACGATAACAACCACCAGCAGCACCATCACCATCATCATCAGCAGAACAGGAAGATAATGTCAGCTGGAAATTTTTGAAAAGAACCCACGCAGACGATGATGATGTTGATGAGGGGGGTTGACGAGGAATCGCTCGTTATTATGATTATCATGTGTAGTGTACAAAGGATGCGATAGCATTGTTAGATCCCACATTCATTGATTGATTGACATTTTCACGGCCACACGGCACGGCGACGGACGCTTGAAGGAGGGCAGGCGAATGTCCAGGGTCTGGTCGTGTTGTCGCTGAGACGTCGCCTTGATGGAGGGGCAGCGATGCCGTCGTGGGGTCCAGAAAGGGCCCCGAATGAGTGTCGAGACACATTTTCATGACGGTCCTGCGACGTCGGGATCATTGGCCAATTCCCTTGAAGAGCTGAGTTTGTGTTGTTTTCGTTGAACGTGTCTGGCCTTAAACCAGAGAAAACCCATCACTACCACCACCACCACCACAGGAACTAGAGAAACATCACTCAAACAATTCACTTACCCACCCATCGACTTATTGCAACTGACATTTATCACACCACAAAATTACGATGGCCATCACTGCGTGGTCCACCAACCCGTGCTTGCTCAACCATCGCTGCAGTGTGGGATGATTCTAGAAGATCGACCTCGCAATGTCACACACAGCACGCACAGCGAGTCTTCCCCACGGAGTCTCGCCCTGTGTCACCCGTGAACCGACGATTCCTTGCCCGTGCAGCAGGTGGCAATGTTGGTCCCACGAATCTTGCGCCACGATCCGCGCGTGTGAACCGTGGAACAGGCGCGGCACCAGGGGGAGCTACGAGTCCACACATACTCTTTGGTTCTTTCGGTAAAGTCACGCAGGTATAAAATAAGATAAAATAAAATAATAGTTTTTTTACCCTTCTATCTGGCAACAAAACTGGCACTTTTTTTTACGAGGAGTCATGTTTGCATAGACCACAATACCTGCAGTCATAATGCAAACAAAAACATAACTCTGATAATGTACGCACTGTCCATGAAGTTGATTGGTCCACACCCGAGACAGATTTCCTTAGAGCCTCATCTCACATGGTGTTGGACCAGATGACGCCGAAAGGCGCACAACTCAAACACAATGCACCATCAGAGTATGAGAGCTCGGGGTAAGCATTTACACCATTGGAAAAACAATTATCATATTTTTTACTGGCAAATGAGGTTCCAATGGTGTAAAAGATAAAAATCACGACGTTTCGGGCGCAACACAAGCGTCCGTCATCAGGTGATCAGGTGATGACGGACGCCCGAAACGTCGTGATTTATTTTATCTTATTTTATACCTACGTGACTTTACCGAAAGAACCAACGAGTATGGATTCCTGCAGTCACGAATGCTTCAAATCAAGATTGAGTCCACACATCCTGACCACCCCCTCTCACCCCCCCCCCAGCAAAATCACAACCACGAAGACAAAGATCCACCCCGGTATAGCCATTAGAGACTGTTGGGGCAAGTGCTGTTCGCGAGCACTTGTGAAGACCGGCATGCCACGATGTTAATTGCCTCGCTTGGTATGCAGGAGCGTGTGGATTCGATCCCAACCCTAGCACCTGTGTATTTGGGGGTTGTGTGTCTCTTTCCCAGTGGTCGCGTGGATTTTTTTTTAATCGGGGTCTTCCAATTTTTCCCTCTACGTTTAGAATCAACGTCACGCGTTTCGATTATTTGGCTGTTATACATTTTCACATGAATAGCCACTTCGTTGAGGTATCATTTGTGGCCACATCGCTTCTGAAAAAGAGCTGTATGGCTCAGTGGGCCTTACCTGGTAAAATAAAAAAAGAGTTTGAAATAGTTTGCCTTGGTTTCTTCGGTCAACTTCTAAATATTACTTCGAACGCCGCAGGTAGCAAGCCGACCGCCAGCCCTGCACCTCATCGATCCAGAGATCACACGGTTCAACAAAATCTCAAACTCTGGATCGGTTTCGACATTCAGTGTGCTCATCGGCAGTCAGCCTCGCTGGCAGCAATGCTGGCGAACTGACAGATGTTTTTAGGCAAAGACCCCCGCTCTGCTAGATAAGGGTGTTCTAGTTAGAACGCGAACCTGGATAACACACAACACAAACCACTGAACATGCATCGCTGTGCAGAACACAATGATTGAACGACGTTAGTGATTAAGTTGTGCCTTAACGATGCTCGAGTGAACCTCTAGCCCGAACCCCAAGCTGAAAGCTGTGCGCGGACACACGAAGTTCACAAATCGTCGGGACTACCGCTGCGATCGGTCGGTGTGGCCGTCACGACTTGTGGGCAGCCCTTCCCATGGGCGCGTCCTGGTGACACTCAC